AGACCAGGCTCAGGAGGTTTCTGCTGTGAAGAAGGACTGCACTGGCTGTTGGACTCCAGATGATGTGTTATGCCTTGTCTGCATTTTGTTCATGTCCAGAAATTTTTCCTGAGATTGGGGTGGTGGACTAATTAATCTTGCAGAAGGGATTGAGGCAGTGGCATGGCTGCTGGTAGGGGCTTTTAGCCAGACCTATTGTTGAGAATCAAGAGCAAAGAGCCCAGGAGAATGATTCAAAACGTTTTGAGTTTAGCCCAAAAAGAAGCTCTAGTAAAGCTGTGGACTGCACAGATAGAGCAGAGGAGATCTTAATTGCTGAGAAAGAATGGAAGAATAGAAAAGATGGTTGGAGGGCATCACAAGAAGCAGCAGCTCTCCACCCTTTGCAGTCTCAGAGTGGTAAAATGAAAGATTTTACTTTGAGGAGAAAGCCCCAGAGCACCACATTCCAGAATGGTGGCAGCCTAGGGAAGTTGTTCCTCTGGATTTGGTTCATACGCATTGGACCCTACAGCCAAGAGAGAAGGAAGCCTGGCTACAGATCCAGCTGGCAGCAGACCTTGGCATCATCCACATGCTGCTGGTTTTAAGTGCATGCAGAATGCAAGAGTTGTAGGGTCAGGAAGGCTTCCACCCAGATTTCAGAAGAAGGCCTAGGATGCCAGGCAGTGTTTCCCTGAGAGAGCAGTGTTTGAAAATGTGAGTGTGAAGTTGAAGGTACAGTGTGGACCCCAGAAGTTTGGAGAAGCCAGGAACATGGAATGTGCAAGGATGGAGCAGAGCTGGCTGAAGAGAGAAGGCATGGGAGCTACAACCACGAGAAGTGCCATGGGGTGGAGCCACCCAACCCCTTTGGAGTTCACAACTTGCCAGAGCTTGACTCAAATGCTGGAAGTGGAGCTGTGGAATGTACTGTTTGGCCTGCTGGAATTTGGACTTACTTTGGTCCCACTCCCTTGTATCCTCTTGTTTGTACCTTTTGGAATGGTAATGTCTATCTTGTGCCATTGAATGTTGCAAGTGTTTAACTTTCTTTTCATTTGTACAGAGGCTTGCAGCTAAGAGTTTGCCTTAAATCTAGAGGAGACTTTGGACTTGGACTTTTCAGTAATGCTGAAACTATTAGGAGTTTGGCATCTCTTAGAGATGGATTTTTGCTTTGTTTTTGTTTTTGGTACCGGGGATCGAACTCC